GGCTCCGGCGCCAATCGAAACTGAATGATCGCGACTCACCTTTAGTCCGAGGGTAGGAGTCAGCATTCCATAGTCGGTTAGGGGTGGCAGCATAACGGGGGGTAGGTTTGCCATCATCATACTGTCTAGAATCTTCGCACGTACTTTCCCTTCGTGCACAGAACACAAATCAATTTATTGCTTACTAGACCTACCTGAAACACAAAGAGGAACAGAGACGTATTAGGCAACTGGTGGTTATTTGATTTTATTGTTATTGATAATGTTCGGGGAGAGCTCGTGGGTTTCGAATGCTTCGATTGAAGTAGACAGAGTTTATTGGTGTTTTCGTGGTTGTACACTGTGGGGCATAGCTATAGCACTATAAACATTGTTATAATTATACTTTAACGATATGATTTGTTAGAATATAATCTAGTAAATGAGAAAGCGTTGTTAATTGAAGTTGTTGCTTGACATTAATTGAATTATTGAAAACTTGATACTGTAGCTATGTTCCGGAGTGTATGTTTTGAACAATAAAATAATGATTGTTAATAAACATTTTGAGATATAACAGTTGTTGTCTTTATTGTGTTATTATAGAATACACGGTATTTAAGATTGACTTAATCTTTGAAAGTACCTAATGCCAGCTTAGAGCTTGCCTGGGTCTGACCTCATACAGACTGAATCTACTAACTCCCAATCTTTCAATAATTCACCAATAAAAACGAATATTTCTTTAGATTTCTCAACCTGCCATACAAAACCATCATCCAATTCCACATATCTATAAAACCCACAATACTAAAGCTTGACCTAACTTTTAAAACCAACTCCTCCCAATTAACCCACTGCCGCACACTTTTACTTTTAAACTCGTGCCCAGAAATGCAGTTTCTTTTTTAATCGCTTGCTTTAATCTATTCAGGTCATGAAAAATCGTACACAAAATCAACTCACATGTTATCTAGGATGTTACGTCATTTTTGTTCAACGTATTACTGAAGAATAAACAAATCAATGCATTAGTATAGTCCGTAAAATAGATACTTAACCCTTTGCGGACGAAGATTCTCTGAAATATACAAAACCATCAACGGGTGAAGCTAAATCATGTATCAATCACTCGAACAATAGAAAAATAGGAAACTACGTGCCGAACTCTTGACGTTTCAGTAACTGAATCATTTGTTTGCTATTCAGTGCTCCAAATATGAAAATTCGATCTCGCTGAAATATCGACGTCCGTCGACAAAGGGTTAACACTTGAAGTTAACACTCCACCCTCGTGAGCCTAACCAAATGCAGACCTAATCAACGAACTCCAAAATCTCAATTCCAAAACCTCACTCCACCAATAAAACCTAAAAAACCCCCACCGCGACTCCATCTTTCTGAAACTTCAGAACAAGCCATCATCCAATACCCTAAGCATCCCCTAACTTCATCAAACATTTCTGCCAAGCAAATTACCATACTCCGACATAAATTCCCGTCCCCAGGCCGAGTTTTCCCAGGAAACCGTTCGAAACCGATATTCCCACGCAACTGGGTGCATCGGCAGGCAGTCAGTTGTATTTACCCGCGACCGAAGAAAATCCAGGCTGGCGCGGGGCTAGCCGCGCAATCAGCAAACTTGACGCCAGGCTTTCTGCGGGAACAAAGCAGCCCCGGCCGCGTTTTCCTTATCTTAAATCCTCGCGGAACGCGGAAAGTGTAACAAAGGCTGCGGAACTACGGGTATATCTACCGATGAACTTTTCCCGGCCGCGTTGGCGACACGCTCCGCGCAAACATTGTTCCGAACTCGTCCCGATCCGCAGCCCAGGTAACCGGGCTGGATGGGGACTCGGCAGTTCCACAGTTGCCGAGTTTCATCAGCCGTCTACCGCGCCGCGCCGCCCCCACCTCCAGCTACATTTCAATTATACCTCGGCAACCAATTAAGAAATTAATCCATTAAGATTAACGTGAACCGCGACGGAACTCGCGTAGACGGGATTACACACGGCCCCGGGATCGACCTGGTCCGAGTCAACGTGATCGCCGGAGACGGGGATACCCGCTGGGCTAAGATTACCGGTCATTTGGGGTACATTTCGTTGGTGCGCCGAGTGGCACGGGAATATGGAGATTTTTGGGTGGGTAATGTTTTCTTTTTGTGGTGAAGGTGGGTGGGATTGAACAAGTGTTGGTTGGACTGTGTGGTTCTTAGGGTAGGTTGGGAATGGTTTTCATGTTATCGGAGTGGGAGTTGGTGGGTCAGTGTGATTAGCTTTAGTGTTTGGAGGTTTTCAAGATTTCAAGTTCCCAAGACTATAAGTTTTCAAGATTTCAAGTTCTCAAGACTCTAAGTTTCCAAAACTCCAAGTTCTCAGTTTTCTAAGTTCTTAGTTCTCTAAATTCTCAGTCCTCTAAGTTCTCAAGTTTCTAAGTTCTCAAGTTTTCAAGCTTTCAAGTTTTTAATTTCTGAAGTTCATGAGATCATAATCTTTTAAGTTATCAAGTTTCGAGTTTTCAAGCTATCAAGTTTTTAATTTCGTAAGTTCGTAAGTTCATAAGTTTTCAAGTCTCCATACTTCAGGAGTGTTCAAGTTTTCAAGATTTCAAGTTTTTAATTTCGTAAGTTCATAACTTTTCAAGTTTCCAAGCTGCAGGAGTGTTCAAGCTTTCAAGATTTCAAGTCTCAAATAATCACTTTAGAAACTGAACAGTTCATCAAAGAATATAAGCGTTCAAACTTCACTTTACTATTCACGTGGTCCAATAACTCACATTTCTAAAATTCAAAAGCAGCGTCAAAAATTAAACCAAGTCAAACTCTACCAACAGTTAATATAACCAAAACTCAACAACTATATAAATACGAAGCAAAATTGCGAAAAAATTCTCTCATACATTCCCGAAGCATCAGCAAACATGCACAAAAAAATTCAGTGAACCAGCTTCAACAATTCTCAATCTAATCTGAATCTAAAAACCGTTGAAAAAGAAACCCCCTTAAATCTAGATAAACCTCGTTAAATCTATATTCCGCAAAGCCAAATATTCGCGTAACAATTTGACCAACGCTCTCTACAATAATGAGGGGCCAACAGAGTAAGAAACACCGTTGTTTAGAAAGCTCAAAGTATCCCACCACGAAATTCCACATTCGCAGCGGTAACGAACGTCCGTCCACGGTTCTCTGTTACGATTTACCGGCGACTGGCCCGCACGAATTAAACCGGTCTAAGTACACTTTAATTAGCCGCACGGCAAACAAGCACGGCCATAAGCCACTGATTTACATGAAAACCGCGCGCGCCGACTCGACCGTGCTCAAATATCCACAACCCCCTTTAATGAATCATTCCTTCGACCGATCGACACCCTGGACAAGGAACCTCCTGTGACACACTTCGATGAAAGTCGATCACAGTACACCCTAGCCCTAGGATAATCGACATTTTCCATGATTTTTAGAATCACGAGATCCTTAACCCCTTGCCTTACGATTTCATTTCGTAGATGCATTTGTTAGAATTATCTATCATTAATAATATACTAGTAAAAGAAAACATTCCATGCTCTATCTATGTATTTAGTATAAACCATACAAATTGCTAACAAGAACAATAATGTTTCATTTAAACTTACAACTCAATGGCATTTATGTTTGTTGAACTGTATTAGAAATTTTCGCCTTGTGTCTGACACGATATTGTTAGGCAAGAGGTTAATATAATATATAATGATTTCTTGTAAATTCTTAATAAGAAGACAGTGATCCACTTATGAATCTTACTAGGTGTTTGTGTAGTTAATTGTAGAAAATATAATTTAAAATTGTAAATAATTTCTAATTAATAATTAATTAATTTTCTAATTTCTAATTTATTGGAAAAAGATCTACTTACGAATCTTACTAGATATTCTTTTGGATTAATTGCAATAAAATACGATTTAAAATTTGTAAATGAATAGTTTAATTATTTAACCCTTTGCTCTATGATCTATTTCCTAATTGCGTGGAACAGAGATATTTTACCGTTCATAATTCATTAGGAAAGGAGAAAGATTCAACGCAGATTAGAAAGAATCAAGTGTAATTTATATTTGTTAAATCCCATTTGAGATCACGAGTGACACGATACTACAGAACAACGGGTGAAATATACAATTTTCTATAGAAAAGATCTTCAGAAATTTGCTAAGCTCTCTTCAGTGAAAGGAGGTCCAACAAAATCAAGTGACGACTTTAACATTCCGAATACAGAAAAATTCCAACGAAGTAGCTAACGTCTCAGTAAAAACAGACAATCTGAAGTTCAGTGAATGGAAAAGCAATCTACAAACGAATTTCGGTAAGGATCTCGAACAAAGCGAAGAAGGAATCAGCGTTCCAAACGCTCGGAGAGACGCAGGAACAACCGAGCATCCGAGGGCACACCGAAATCTCGAAATTGTACGGCAGATAACAAAGTAGCGCGGGAAGAGAACACGGGAAAACTGAAGTGCTTCGAAGTTACTGCGAATTTTTCTTAACGTTAAACAGCAGCACACGACGGAGGGACGGAGAATATTGAGGTGAAGGAGAAGAGGAGGAAGAAGTGGATAGCGGAGCGAGGGAACAGCGTGGAAACACCGCGTTCACGGAAATAGAGATTTCGCGGAAGGTCTTACGTCGGATTTGCCGGTTAAGCCGCCTCGGATCGTGCTGTTACAACGTTTCCTTCTGCAGCTCCCTCTGCGAGAACTCCCCGCGCCCCTGGCAACCCGACCCGTTCCCGTTCCCGACGTCTCCGATCCTCTAACTCGCAGATCGACGACGGCCACGTGACACCAATCTAAGTTTCGAAACCATCCTTCGACCACCTTTCTTTCTTTCGAGCGGCGTCTACCTTTTGAGATTGAGATTGATAGTGAACGGTTTAATTTGTCGAGGTTTCGGTTGTGGAATGTAGATTTTAAGTGTTGTAAATTTATGTGGTTGGGTGGGAGGGTTTCAGGGAATTAATATCGGGAGAGGAATTGGGTTAAAAGTTGGTGAATTGGTAGATTTTTCTGGGGTTCCCTCGAGATTGATAGTGAACTGTTTAATTTATCGAGGTTTCGGTTGTGGAATGTAGATTTCTTTGGTTGTAAATTTATGTGGTTGGTTTTAGAGAATTAATGTCGGCATAGGAATTGAGTTAACCCTTTGAACTCTGTAGGCTCCAATATTGTA